TTCCTAAATTAGGATTGTGGCTTCTTCCCTTTTGAATCTGACCCTGAGTGAATTACACAGGCTCTGTGGCTAAATACATGAAATGCAGGTAAGCTGCTGAGTAATACTAATTACCACCTAAATCAGCCACACAACCTGTGTAATTCATATGTGCTCAGGTTAAAGGGATGAGATGGTGACACGTTAGTAATGGAGCTCTATGTCCTGCAGATTTTGAAGTATGGCCAAATCTGTTACATTGCAGTTGTTTGGATGCCAAATGTCCAGATTATTGAGGGGATAGAAGAATTCTTGGAGCATAGCCACATACACAAAGACCAAAGCCTAGCGTGCAGAGATTTTTCCATGCTGCATGAACGGGACCCAGGTGGATAACAACTAGTAAATACATACTGACACAAAGCCTTAACAGGCTGGCAAATCTGTCATTTGTCAGGAGAGGTCATTGAAAGGAACCTCTCAGGATACTGACATATCTACATTAGAGTGGAATCATACTAAATAGCAAGTAGCAATAGCAGTAAGGGCATTTGGCAGTACAGAAAGTGTTGAAGCCAGAGGACCAGTTTGATAGCTAGTGAAAGAGGGGAATTTATAAAAAATGGAGCAGACAAAATCTGAAGCAGTTGCTCATGTCAACCAATCAGCTTCTCTCTTCAGTTTGCTGAGTTGGGATTTAAAAATGAAACAGATGCTGATTGGTTGCCATGCACGTCTACTCCAGTTTTGATTAATTCCTCTAATAGTGTTTTCAGGGGTCAGAAGCGCTGGCCTTTGTATTTCTTAAGCTGGCCATAGACCTGAAAACCATCACAAGACTTTTGTCTTGCGATGGTTGTAAGGTAATTAAAAAAAGCGTACGATCTTCCGATTCCGATTACTCCAATGCTGAACGGGCAGTGTGCGCTTGCGAGCATGCCACAAACGCGCCGACAATCGTACGATTCTTGGCGGGCTTTCGAACATGCTTGTAAGACAAAAGTTGTGCGACCTTCAGTAGCAGAGGTCGCACGCCTTCCATACACCTTGCGATTATCGTACGATCGCGGGATTTCCCGTGATTATCGTACAATAATCGCGAGGTGTATGGGCACCTTCACAGGCTCAGGAGGCAGCATTCGATCTAATGAACCATTGACCTGGTTTAACAACCATAGTGATTCACTACATACAACCAGTGAAGTCTGAAAATCTGAATCTAAACCATGTATGGCTGGTCCAGGTCAGCAACTCACTAGGTAGTGATACCAGAAACGGCCTGCTTGCTCCCATATTTCTGTCTTTAACAAGAGAGTAGCAAAATGAATACTGGGCAACATTCCATAGAGTGGCGGAACTACCGCCGGTGTGGCCAGTGCGGGCGCATGGGGGCCTCAGCCTGGGGGGCCCAGCACAGTTGCCGGCCGCTGGATAGCACCGGATCCATATCCAGACGTCTGATGGGGGCGGGCTGACCGGGAGCTGCGGTGACGGCCGCACGGTCAGTTCGCCCCTGCGCCCGGGGGAAGGCGCCCCCTTCGCTACGCCACTGGCCGGGAGTGTCGGATGTGCAGAAAGGCGGCAGGGTGATGGAGCAGCTTCGGCCACAACAGACCCCCCACAACCAGGGTCCAGGGAGCCCCACTGACCACCAGGCTAAGGTAAGGAGACATTTTTATAATAACATTCTACAAAATGTTTTGTTTTATGTTCCCGGCTGCTTCTCTTCCGATCACTGGACCTGGAAGTGCTGTGTATTACATCACTTCCGGTGTCACTGTACACAGTCTCTGGCTCTTAAGGTGCCCATACACTGTGCGATTATCGTAAGATAATCGCGGGAAGTCCCGCGATCGCACGAGTCGTATGTACGAGATCGCAAAGTGTATGTAAGGCGTGCGACCGTTTCTACTGTACAGTCGCACGTCTTTTGTCTAGCGAGCATGTTTCAAAACCAGCCGAAAATCGTACGATTTTCGGCTGGTTTGTGGCATGCTCAGGAGACAAATGCCGAACGAGCGGGGGTGCGCATGCGCACACTGCCCGTTCAGCATTGCGGTCATCGGAAGCCCGCCCCTCCGCGGGGCGGGCTAGAAATTAAAGTAACATAAAAAATGGGAAAAAAAATGGGAAAAAAAATGTTTAAGTCCCCCACCCCCCAGATACACACGCGTCGGAGCGCCTACGTGCGCAAAATGACAATTGTGCTGCACATGTTACATATCACCTCGAACGTCGCAGTGAGAGCAATAATGCCATTTTTCTGCTGATACAGCAACGCATCCGTGCTTTCTTTCCTCCCCGCTGGGCGCTGCTCTGTGTCACAGCGGGGAGGATAGAAAGTGAAAACCGGCCGAGCGCTGCGGGAGGAGAGTGCTTTGTTTGTGGGGGGGGAGGGGGCCCAAATAAAAATCTTGCACCAGGGCCCTTTGTTCCTTAGGTCAACCACTGATTCCATAGCAACTAATTAGGTCATTACACTGACAAAATGAGGATCATATATGAGGTGATTGCACTACCATTCTGTCCCAAACAGAATCAGAGACATATATCCAAATTGACACACCCAGAAGCAAGTTTTCAGCAACAGAATGGGAACAACCCTTTTATGGCTCACAGAGAGATTTAGAAGTTCTATGGACTGAGTCAGTAAACCATAAGCAGGGTTCAAAATGTCAGGCCCTGAGCTACTAGCTAGGCCTTAAGAGTTACTCGCCACCAGTTGCCCCCCCTCACCCCTACCCTGCCCCGGCCTTAACTCCGCCAGGTCAGCGGTGTGACAGAGGTCAGCAATGTACAGAGGCCAGTAATGTAACGCACAGTACAGAGGTCAGTAATGTAACGCACAGAGGTCAGCGGTGTACGGCAGAAAGAACAGGGACTTACAATGCACATAGCTGATCTGCCCTCTTCCTCTCCTGGTGCTGGTGGTGGTACTGGTGCGGGGGGTGACAGAGATGTATCCTTCAGGTCTCACGCTGCAGAACCTTCCAGCCGGCCAATAGCAGCTGCAGTCCTCCTCCCAGCCTATGAAAGCTGAGGTGGGTGGAGGGAACTGCAGGTGGCCGGAGTGAAGGGAAGACAGCCAAACTGACTCTTCTCCTCCCTCGCCGCTCTGTAGCTGCAGTGGCCGTGGAGGAGAAGAATAATCAGTGCGTCTGTCTTCCCTTCACTCCGGCCACAGAAGATAGAACTAAACAACCGATTAGTTTCACCCCCGCTGATCCTGCCGGCCGAACCCCTTCCCCAGATGAATTTCCACTCACCCTCACGCAATTTTCACTCGCCAATTGCGAGGGGGCGAGTTAAAATTTTGACCCCTGCCATAGGTACATAGGACACCAGGGGAGGCAGGTGAGGCAGAGCCTCACCTAGTATTATGGACTAAAAAGCTGTCAGCTTCAAGTGTGAAGTTGACAGCTTTTTCCCCATTCATATCGGCTTCTATCAGGTTACACAGCAGGGAGAGCCTCCCCACTGTGTAACCTGTCATGGATGGAGCACTGCCTGTTAATTACAGGTGGTTCTGCATCCTGTTTTTGAAAGCTAGTTAGGTTACACAGCAGCGGGCTTCCCCACTGCTTGTGTAACCTAACTTTGTGAGGCAAGAACTGTCACAGCCTCTACACTGTTTTAGAGGCGTGAGCTCTGTAGATGGTTTGGACCAATGGCAAAGCGCCATTTGTCCAAGCTGTCCAATCAAAAAAACGAAAAAAGAAACACTGAGGACATCGATCTTGATGCCTCACCTGTGACGAGCAAGTGAGGGACAGGGAGACTCCTCCCTGTCTCCTCCCTCCACAAATAGCTTGGTTACTGAGTTGGGGGTGGGGCTTCTGTGGAATGGGGGGGGGGTTTTGGTGGAAGGGGATGGGGATTCGGTGGGATGGGGGCAGGGCTGGGGAATGCCTCATCCAGCACAGAAGGCACCGCACGTCACTGTAGTACACTATGCCACCAATGAACCTCCACAGGTTCACTATGCAGAAGTGCAAGCTTGACTGGATTATCCAGCAAAATGGACAGTAATTCTAGTAGTATTCTAGTGTGAATAAGCCCTTGCTCATGCTCTGGAGCCCAGGATGATATAATACTGGTATTAGGTCAGTTAACTGGGAAATACTCATCCTGGTGGCATTTATTCCTACAAATCTTCCTTCTATTATTATTCAGTTAGAAAGGTACAGCATATAGATGAGTATTGTTAAGCATGGAAAGTTTAGGTGTGTTGGGTAATTTGTGACCATCCTCTTGGGGTATTCAGTTCTCAGGTGCAGGCTGGTCTCTTGTATTTTTGTTTTGGAATTGAGTCGGATCTTGGTTAGTTACATTAGACCGGTGCAGATCTCTAACAAACGGGCTGAGAACATTGCCAATAGAGCAAAGTTAAACCAGCGCTACGTAATACAGTCTATAATAATGCTGACCAGTGGGTGAGCATGTGGGATGAAAAAGAGGTCTTCTGAGCAATTGATTCCCCTGAAGTCCTAACTCATGACCAGATTCATATGAAAGTACTGATGACAGAGATGTTTTGTGTTATAGAGTTTAAACTTTACCCTGCACAATAGTGATGTTAAAGGAGATACTGTGGAGGTTTGCAGCTCATTGTGTGTATATGTCTTTGTGGATGCAGTGAGGGTGTTTAAAAGCCTTAGGTAGCCATGTATCTTACACTGACATATTGCAGACCTAGCTGAATGATGCAAAGCGCTGAAATCATTAATGCTCCTGAGCTCATTACATCTGTTTGCAGCATGGCTTTTGACAGAATACTCTTCAGGGAATTCATTGATATGATACACTGCCAATGATTTTCCCTTCCATAACTGAGCTCACAAATCACAGCATATATTTTGATATTGCTTGTCCTCTTAGTTGAATTTATAGTTGTGTTCGTGCTTTACCCCCATCATAGGTTGAAGTTAGTTACTTGATCTAGTAGAAAGCCTCAGTCATACTGCATGGTATAGCGTTTTGTGTTTTGCACCTACAGAAATACATGATTTGGTCCATTCACCATGGCGGATCAAGACACCATGACAGAAGTGCCCGCTGCCCTGAAGAGACTTGCCAAGTACATGGTTCGAGGGTTCTATGGCCTTGAGTACTCCCTGACCCTGGATGTGCTCATCAGGTACCCCTGTGTCAAAGAGGAGGACATTGCTCTGCTCCTCAAGTTTGAAAAGAAGCAGCTTCGAACCATCCTGCAAACACTGAAGGGGGATAAGATCGTCAAGTGTCGTATGCGTGTCCAGACTGGGCCAAATGGGAAGAGCACCAAACATAACTATTACTATATCAACTACAAGGTGCTTGTAGATGTGATTAAATATAAACTTGATCATGTTCGCCGCAAGATCGAGTCTGATGAGAGGGAGTCCACCAACAGAGCTTCTTTTAAGTGCCCTGGATGCCACAGCACCTACTCTGACCTGGAAGTGAACCAATTATTTGACCCATTTACAGGTATGAGTTATGTTTCCAATCTAATGTATGATTCTGTAATTAGTCTGCATAACATTGAAAATGTGTGCATCTAAAAAAGTTGTCATGTTTAACTGTTGTCAGGTACAAATGACTGGTAACCAATAGAGATGAAACAAGTCGATTTGTGTACAAGGATATATTTACCACAGGGTAGTTGTTTGACAGTTCCTAGGACAGCAGAGAAAAATGCGGTAGTACAAAAGCACAACATATACAATTTGATTTTGTTTTCTTTTATGTTCTGCTCAATTCTAGAGAATTGTGGGTAACCAAATGGCACACAAGAAGGGAGTACAGGTACTAGAACTGGAGTCATAAGACTCTCTGTAGCTCAAGCCATATACAGCCGTCCCCTTTTTTTGTTTATAGTGTCTTGGTCGGTGGGCTGCACAGAATAAGAGGAGCTCTGCATATAAAGCAGACAGCTCAAGTTGTGCAGTTAAAATCAGCCCCCATGACTGGGAACAAGGAGCCTGCACATAAGATTACATGTCTAACATTATCTCTGATGCTTGTGGAACAGAACAGGATAACTAATAGAACTATGAAGGAAAACAATATAAAGTAAACCTTTCCAAAGAGAATTACAGGGGCTGCTATTGCTGACCTTCTTCTGGAAATGATGGTTGCGTGGCTAGTATACTAACCTTTTTGGCTTCAACTGTTTGTCACTGACCTGGAACAAATATGAGAATCCCAAAAAAATAAAAGAAAGGTCAGAAGACCTTATATACATACTTGTTCTGGGTCCTATGGTTTATATACTAAAGCCAGATAGCTAGATTGTCAGACTGTCACACAAAATGAGGGACAGAATGAGAGGTCATCACTGGCAACCTACATGATTCTCTCAGGAAAGATTTTCCTTAAGGTCCCCACACACCTTACGATAATCGCGGGAAATCCCGCGATCGTACGATTATCGTAAGGTGTGTGGAAGCCGTGCGACCTCTACTACTGTAAGGTCGCACGACTTTTAACTTATGGACATGTTCGAAAACCCGCCGAGCATCGTACGATGTTCGGCGGGTCTGTAGCATTTTCGTAAGATAAAAGCCGGACGGGCCGGTGTGCGCATGCGTACACAGCCCGTTCGGCATTGCGGTCATCGGAAGCCCGCCCCTCAGGGGGCGTGGCTTGCGATAATCGCAAGTACGATCTGCCTATGCAAGATAGGCAGAGCGTATGTTTTTTTAAAGTACCTTACAACCATCGCAAGACAAAAGTCTTGCGATGGTTGTAAGGTGTGTGCCCAGCCTTACGGTGTATCTTCACTTTGGTAGCCAAATTGGTGTAACACCTATTTTGAATGTGTTACATGTTCCCATTTACATAGCATAATCTAAAAAAATTATTTAAAAATGCTTCCTGCAGATTAAATTGCTCTTTTTCGGGGTTGGGGTTTCTTCTTGGCTTCTTAAGGGTTAACATTTCTATTTGCTTCTCCTTTTTTATGTAAGGTTAGAAGGGGTTGTGAGGGGCTTCTCCATTGTATGTTAATGAAAAAAACAAAATCCCTTAAATGTCAATCCTAAATCTTTCTATAAGGACAGATCACTGTGAAGTTGCTGAGAGAAAAGAATGGGCCACTTTGAGGGAATCTGGCACTCTGAGGTACCTTGTGACTTTGTCAGGGGTGGCTTTAAATTCTCACACATTGCCATGTATTTTCATGGTATAGGTGAGCTGGCCACCAGCACCATGGAAACACATGATGCTAATCCAGGGTGGGCTGCATCCAGCACCTCCCTGTGCATTCAGAAGAGGACAGAACTGCCCTCTGCATGTCGCTAAAGCCACACTGTGGTGATTATTAGAAGGTAAAACTCTGATGTGGAGCGGGGCACCTGATGAAAAGGGGGGGGGGACTTTTATCTTACATGCCTACTGTGTTGTACTGTATTTATCATTAAGGTTGTTTAATATTAATCTTGAGATATACGAGAACCCTCCTATTTGGATGTGAGACAATGCAGTCAGCATTCTGCTGAATGACTGTTACAGGATGTTATTTAGAGGGTATTTTGTCTTCCAAATTGTATAGTTCGACCTAGAAATATTTTTGTAAAGTGTGTGTGTCTCTAACCTTTCCCAACTCCTTCCAAAAACAATATAAAGTATTAGCTGGAGCCGGGCCTTATTACCATCTGTTATTTGATCAATTGCAGAGCTTTTTCGCTGCACCTATTGCTATCAAGAAGTTGAGGAGGATTTTTCTTCACTACCTAAAAGAGATGCCAGAACACTACTTGCTAAATTTAATGAGCAGATAGAACCAATTTTTCTGCTCCTTCGGGAAACGGAAGATATTGTCCTTCCAAGTGAGCTGCTGGAGCCTCAGCCGACTGATATTCCAGAGCTTGCTGACAGGTCAGTTTGTTAGAGTATTAGGATTGGTTTGGTCTTACCCCATGGCAGTTTGTTAGGAATTGAGACACAGTAATGGTAGCAGATGTTATGTATGGTACAGCACCTCAAAGCATACAATGCAGAGGTACTCTTCCACATGAACAGCTTAATGGTGTTTATATAAATCAGTGCCAGACCTGTAGCTCTGTTGCTGGCAATGAAAAGTGAATAAATGAGGAGTATGAATGTTGGTGGCTGAACATCTTTGTTAATCATTATCTGCTCATCATGTGAGATTATTACTTGAACATTGCAGGCAGCCATTTTTGAGCAGCTACTCCATTCTAGCAATTTACTAGAATCAGGTGAAGTCACTGAGTACTCAGAGAGTACTATGAATATTGTTTTAGATTAACCCCTTAATGTGGCTGCCTCTAAAGTTGTACAAAACGATTTCATTTGCAGCTAAACTCCAGGCAATCAACTAATATACATATATAGAATCTGTTTCTGTTTCTCTTCATCCAGTCCTGAGATTTACACAGCCTATCATATAGCACAGCCAGCCAGGTGACCTGACTTTTCTCTGCTCTGGTTCAGCCAGATCACCTCCCTTGGCTTAGCCTGTGATTGGACAGTGAAGGAGCAGCAACAGGATGATACGGTCATCTCTCTGTTCTTTCCTCCTGCAAGCATTCTCCTTGTCAGCACCCCATCATATTGTGCTCATCTGATTTGGCTCCAAGTACTGCCTCTTTTGCCTCTTCTCTTCCAGTTTGAGTACTGCTGTAGAGGGGATTACAAAAAGTTGCAATCAAGTCAATTTCCGGCATTTATAGTAGTTGCTACTGAAGTACATTTAATATTTTTTTTTATAAATTCATACATGCATTCATTTGTATATTTGTTTAGCTTGCCTAAAGTTCAGCTTTAAGTGTGGGCCACACTTTGTAAGTGTAATTTACTGTCAGTAGCAGAGCTGAATATCATGTGTGTTCAGATGCTAATAAAACTCTAGGTGACTTAGTCCATGATCAGAGCGATAATACAGGCCTATCTACTCTAGCTATGAACAGTCTGCTGCCATTGGCTCTATGGATCTACATGGATGCCAAGGAAGATGGGCCGACAAAAGCTCATCTATGGGTAACATGTATGTCCAGAACATCACTATTAATGTCCATGAAGGAGAACTGAAAAAGGTAAAAGAAAAGAAGGGGAAGGAGCAGCCGGTCTGGATGACAAAGAGTACAGTGCATGAAGTCCCACCAGAATTGAATGCCAGCTTTGGTAAGTACTGGAGTGAGATGTGTGGTGAAGGGACTGGTGGCTGGGAACCACTTTTCCATATGGTGAAAAGATGGGGTAAAGCTGGAATTTAGAGTGACATCCCACCACTTATATCATACATACTTGAGGTGGATCTTAGAATGTGAGTGTTCAACACCTATGGTATAAGGATGGACAATAATCTATAACTCATGCAGTGGGTTGAGGGGAACGGGATTTATCAAGCAAGGCATGGACTGAATCATCAACCTATCCCATATTAATCGAGGACTATCTTATGTAGCAACAGATCTGCAGTCTGTTGAGTCCCCTGTGCCCAGTATCACACGGAATACAATATTTGCTCCACATGTATTTTTTTTTTTAACTTGCAATGACTCATCACACAAATAGAACGACATATGGTCATGTACATGGTTTATATATGTGAAAAGTCACTTCCACCCTGTAAAATGGGACATTTACACATAAATCTGCAATCTCCTGCTAAATCTGTCCCAGGTATTAGCACATGGATTTAAACCTGAACAGCTTTTTTGTGTGTGCCTTGGCTGATAAATTCCCTTTTTACCTAGTTTTTTTTTTTTTTGTATTCTTCTGCATGAAGCAGAAGTGGCAAACTAGAATAAAGTAACTATTCCACATTACTATGCATTTAGGAAGTCATTATTGTGTATAATGATGCTGAACCTTTAAATGGGGGACACCAATGTGGTTGAAAAATAAATACCAAAAATAATGTTATGTTTCACTTCAACAAGAACAGGGCAAAACAACAGGTTTGCTTTTAATCCCCCTTCCCCAGAAGCATATACTTACATTTCCTTAGTTTCCCCACGAATAGGAGCAAGCAAAGGAAGTCCTGTGTAGCACCGGGTTCCTGTAGTGGAAGCCAATATAGATCTGATGACTCCTTGGGGTTGATGTAATAAAATAGGCTGTTTACTTTGCAAGGGAATTTGCACTTTGCAGGGGAAGTTTCCCTTAGCCTAGTGAATGTGATGAAAACGCTCTTTGCAAAGAATACCCAATCATGTCAAGTGAAAATTTAAAAAAAACTGTATTTTTGCTTGCACATGATTTGGTGATGGAAGTCAGCAGAGCTCCACGCCATTCACTAAGCTAACAGGAAACTTCCCCTACAAAGTAAACAGCCGATTTGACTTGAGTAAATGAACCTCCTTGTCTCCCTGTGGCAGCAGTGGGCTAATCACCAAGCACCGATGCTACCACATGAAAGGCAGGGGAGTAAGGCTAGGTTCACACCTGCACGACACCCGGGACGTGCGATCATGTGATAGTGCACACAGCGGTTGCCGCGTGGCCCTATTGATTTCATTGGGGTGACATCCGTGCGGCAATCGCTAAAAGAAAAAGGTACATGTACCTTTGTTTTGCAACACATGATGTGCAGATTTTTTTAGCGCATTCACTTAGCAGTGGGCTACTCCATGTCCGTGCAGCAATCCGCGCAGTTTTGTGCACGATTGTCGCGCAGTGAGGAGTCGCTGCGGTTGGGAACCTAACCTGAGTTGAATGTTCTCCCATATCTAGATGCACTGTGTATATTCTTTCCTCTCCGTGGCTAAATATAAATGGGGGCACTGGCGGAACTACCAGGGTCGCAATTGCGAGCGGGCCCTGGCGTTCCGCATGTTGGGGGGGCCCAGAGAGGAAGCAGAGGGCCCGAATGCTTCCTCATGCCCCCCCCTCCAGATAGCGCCGCTCCATCCCCCGCCGCTCTGCATGTATGAGCGGCTGTGCGGGATAGAGAGGCACCTCTGTGTGTCACTTGTCTGCAGCACATTCTTCAGCTGGGAGAGGACGGACCCTCTTCACTCGGCCGCGCCCCCTGGCCGCCAAAGACGAGGAAGCTGAGCGGCTGTAGGAGTCAGGTAAGTCCGGTGTGGGGGGGAAAGGGGTGGAAGACAAACTAATTTTATATTTATTCACATTATAAAGGGGGAGTGAAGGAAAAGTATGTGCTGATGGGGAGGGAGCATTAAAGAGGAACTTTACCCATATCTTCAAAATAACAACAAAGGCAACTTTAGAAATGTTTAGAAATGACAATCTACAAACTGATAATTCTATATATCTGCAGGTTTTTTATTTTTTGCATACCTCATTTCTGTTTTCTTCCCCAGCCTTCTGACAGTGGCCATATTAACTATGGGCAGATTATTAGATCTCCCTTTACTTCTTGGAACTCTGGCACATGTGACTAGGACATGTGACCATGCACATCATCTCAGGAGAGGAAAATGCCTTTCCCTGAGATCTTGTGAGATTACAGAAGAGATTTCCCAGCAATGCTCAGCTGATATAACCTTCCCAGGATGCAACACTTTGGCACATTACATCATCTGTGCCAAAATTAGAACAGGAAGTGGGGGGGAAAAAGAAATTGTAAGTAAAATATGTTTGTTTAGCTAATAAATGTAAGATTTTGTATCAGCATGCAGAGCTGTATGCTGATGTAATTCCACACTTTAAACCAAACTTGTAGTTTTGCTCTGCGTGACCAAGCACAGGTTTACTATGGATTTGTTCCTGAAGAACTGACTACAGTTTAAAATATTATGTATGCCTAGTTTCCTAAATAGATATTTTCTTACATTTTCTCAAACTGATTTTCCATTTCAAAATGACTTCTTGCGTAGATGATCAGGAGTTCAATTCACACAAGTACGGTTTGATGTTTTCCGTGTGCTATATTTAATTAGCCTATTTTATTGTCCCAAAACACCACATGTGTTGTTTTCATTTAAAACCGACCGTGGGCTTTTAGCTTCACCATCTGTAAATTTACAATGTCATCGAGCTCCTGAGCCTGGTTGTGCTTTTGGAGAATGAGGCACCCTTGCCTATGGTAGGGCCCTTGGCTAGTCATGGTTTTTGGCATACAAATAGCAAGTTGTAACATATATATCATGGGTCTCCAAATTGCACTAGCATTTTAAGGCGTGCTAAAATGGCCTCTTAAGGAATATTACCTCAAGGAATTCTATCACTTAAGGAGCACATTTAGCATATCTTAGGTGTTCAGCTTCTGCTGGTCTTTACTCCTTTCCATTTCTTCCACAGAAACTAATGAGCCAGACATTGATGAAAATGCCAACAAGAAAGACAGTGGCGGTGACAATGAAGTGTTCAGAACTCTTCTAATCCATGAAATGAAATCTGGATCTGGCCCCACGCCAACCCAGACTTCTAAAAGTGATTCAGACAGCGACACTAGTGAATCTGATGATGAGAAAAAGCGCACAAAGCCTGCTCCAATAAACCCCAGTAGCAGCGCAGAGCAGGAGGAGGAAGGAGAAGCTGTAGATCCAGTGGTCATGGTCGGTGGTCAGCCCCATGTGTACAGTGAGGTCAGTCAGAACCCCACACTGGTGTCCTTCATGACGGATGAGGAGAGAGAAGCTTATATCAAAATAGGACAACAAATGTTCCAGTCGGCATTTGAATGATCGTTAATCTGACGTGATATTAGGAAGCCCTAAATAATGCACATTGCAAAATAAAAAAAATGTGCAGCTCTTTTTTTCTTTTTACTTCCATTTTGCTTTTCATGAAGAGTTTCTCAGTGTTTTCCTGCAGAAATATGTTTTGTTGTTTTCATGGGTGTGTGCTGTATGAATAAAATACTGCTGCATATTCTTAGTCTCATTTGTCTATCTGCAGTCTTCTCTGCTGGAAAATCATTTTTCTGATACTTATCAAAAAACTGATTGTCCCCTAGACAAAGAAATCCCTGAAATGGAGCTGGTCCAGTGAACAGGTTACACATAAGTAATAATAAGTAAATTTCAATATTTAATGATAGAAAAACAACATGTATAAACACCCATAACAACAATTAAAATGACTTCCCTTGGATTACCCACATGTAATAGTGCGGGTGATAATCTGCAAGCCACCTAAGTGGCAAAAAGTCACTGATGCAGATACAGTGGCTGTATTTCAGAGATGGATACAAAGTATCAGAGCTTACTCACATTATATGTGGCTCAGAAAGAGGGACAGTCCTGGTTGGATCCCGCAATATTGCATAAGTGAAGTTTTTCAATGGAGCATATCAGTGTGTAGCAATTGGGTTCCAGAGAGTATGCCTCCCTAATAGGGCCAGAGGCTTTATGGGCATCTCTCCCTCCAGCTTCTTGGAACTCTCACTGACCCGCGGGATTCAATTTCCAATCTAGAGAAACATCCAGGGATTGTTTCAAACATATGCGGCCGCACAGTAGGAAGAATTGTGATGGAATCTCCACGGTAGTGTGTCCCAGACACAGTTGGATCAAAAAGCTGTATATAATCAACAGGCAACAGCCCACTCGCTTTCCTCTGTCTCAGCTCAATTCGTGCAGGCTCTGATGCTGCTGTAATATGACTGTGTCCAGACCGGCTTTGCTCCGTCCCCTTGACTAGAAAACAGCAAGATTTTCACTCTCACACAGTCTTGTAAAAGTGCTGAATAGTCAGTTACGGGTATCAAGGGAAGTTGTAGCACACGTTACCCTAATTTTCTGATACTTACCTTAATTTTCCTTTGCCGTCGCCTCCTTGTTTCAGGACAAGAGTAAGTGCCAGGAGGTGGACAGAAATATGGGCCACCATTCCAGAGTTGTTTTGCTCATCCTTTCTTCATTACATAGTGAGTCACACGCCTGGAACATGCATATTATGCATCTCTGTTCCAAGTAAGTGATTTACTAAGTAAAGATGAAAAGATAAAGATGATGGGCCTTAGGATTTTAACTTTCAAAATAAATACGGCCATTCACTGTTAGAATTTTGAGCAATTCATATGAAACGGGCAATTTTCTAACTGTGGGAGGCCCTGTCAGCAAGGAGCCAGGTGGAAAATTATCGGCCGAAAAGTGACTGCAGCTAATTACCTGCAGCTATTGTTTGGGTATTCCAACAGCCGCAGGCACTGGATCTCAGAATACAATAGCTGGCAGGGCCGATGTTTAGCATGGATGGGGGAATCTAGTGGTTATCCTCTTGATCAGGCTTGCGGGCTGCATAAGAAAAAACGATCAGGTTTATTCACTGGAGGGTGAAGAGTTTGGAGAAGGCAGGAGAAGGGAACAATCTAGGACAACATAGCTGAACCGGAAAGTGAGCTGAATTGGAGAATTTTTCCAAATCGGCTATTTTGTCCTAGATTGTTCACTTCTCCTGCCTTCTCCAAACTCTTCACCCAACTCTTCACCCTTTAGTGAATAGACCTGTGTATGTGTATAGCCAACTTTTAGTTAGCACAGACAGCTCTCATATTTGTATCCTCACAGGCTACCAGTTCTAAGACCGCATCGCCACCTCCTGGTACTAACAAGCAGCAATGAAACATCATGAATCCTAATCAATTCATCCTAGGCAAAAAAAATGACCAGACTGGAGCTCAAAGTCTACTTTTTAATGGGAAAGAAGGTATAGCTTTTTTTTATTTTTTTTATTACTGTATATTGTAACGGGTTAGGAATTTATTTAATGCAGACTTCTAAAATTACTGAAAGGTCCACAAAGGGCCAGTACGGCTAAAGTTAGGGATGCACTGAAATTGAATTTTCAGTCCGAAACTAAAACTAAAATAAAAATGTGTCAGGCTGAAACCAAAATTGTTTTTTTCTAACCATTTTAATTTTTTTAAATTTATTTTTACTTTAAGGGGCTCTGGGGAAATATTAGGGGTCTAAACAGAACCCTGATATTTACCTTTTGAAATAGAACAAGAGATTAAGGACTCTGTGTCTTCTATCTCTCTTTTTCTGTATCTCCTTTTATAAATGAACAGGAAGCCTCTTAACTGAGTGTTCCTGTCCATTCATAAACTGTGGATATACAGGTGAAACTCGAATAATTTGAATATCGTGCAAAGTTCATTTATTTCACTAATGCAACTTAAAAGGTGAAACTAATATATGAGATAGACTCATTACATGCAAAGCAAGATAGTTCAAGCCGTGATTTGTCATAATTGTGATGATTATGGCTTACAGCTCATGAAAACCCCAAGAACCCCAAATCCACAACCTCAAAAAAGTAGATTATTACATGCAATCAATAAAACAAGGATTGTACATAGAACAATATCGGACCTCTGAAAAGTACAAGCATGCATATGTACTCAGTACTTGGTTTGGGCCCCTTTTGCAGCACTTACTGCAATTACTTTTGCACGATATTCTAATTATTCGAGTTTCACCTGTAGTATGAGTTACTATGCCCACAATCACGAATGAATAGGAAGTGATATAGAGCACTTCTTGTTCATTCATCATTGGGGACACAATTTTTTTTTGTATCAAAAGTGGAGCAGCTGTGCTTCAGTTTGTTCAGTTAAAGGGGTTCTAAACCCTCCGTTTTTTTTGCCTATATCTACTGCTAGCGAGGCAAAAAAAAAAAAACGCTTTAACAGCGGTTTACACTTACCCTGTTTTCGTTGCGCGCTCCCGCCCGAGAATCCGAGACTGCTCGTGCGGCCGCAAAGCATCTTGGGGCGGGCGCATGCGCAGTTCGGATTTTCGGGCGGGAGACGAGTAGAGACGCAAGGTAAGTCTATGGACGCGTGCACACACATGCAGACACCGCTGGATCGGAAGTGCCTGCAAGCAGAGAGGAGTCAGCGCTGGATCGGAGAGCCGCCGCACCGCTGGAGGGACAGATGAAAAGGACAGAAAGAAGAGGAAGATCGGATTAAGAAACCTTATTTAAGGTAAGTGCTAACATTAACATTGGGGGGAGGGAAAAACATTTTTGACTTTGTCACTTTAAGATTTGAAAATAAAAGAGAGAAGCTGATTGGTAGCCATGCACAGCTGGCTCCAGATTTGATAAATTCCTCTCACTATGTCCTCAATTATTTACATTATAGTCCTGATTAGGGATATTCAGATACCAAGTACAGATACTTTCTAGCTCCAGGACTAGACTAGGGAAAAATTAAATAGTTAGGAGGCAACTGTCATTCTGAAGGAGAAGTGGCTACTGATTTGTACATTGCTGTTTTTTTAGGGATGCACCAATTACTTGTCCAATACTCACAGATACAAGTACTGATACATTTGTGTTTATTGTCATGTGACAGTTTTTCTAAAACAATACAGACTAATGATTTCAGGACAGTGGTGGAGTGCCTGAGCCCGGTCCCAGCTGCAACTGCAGCAACCCTGGTAGTTCTCATGAAAATGCCAAGTATCTGCACTTTAGCAGCCAGGTAAGACGCTTTTATTGTAGAAGAGATGGAGGAGAACATCCTTTTGTATCCTTTACGTCCTTTAAACAGACACAATCATCAGTTCAGACAGGCAATTAAGCTGCAGTGTCAGCAGATCAGTGGATGCATTTGTCCCATTCATTTAGTTTACATTTACTTCCAACTAAAGCTAATGCATTACAAAAATGAAATGCCATTGCTAAGAATCAGCGCTTGAGAATAAGATTAAATTAAAATGAATTTCCAAAATGGAATTGCTAATAACTATAAAATGAATATCTTTGTGTATAAATTACATTTCATAGCTGTTTATAGGACTTCAGTGCTAAAATCAGAAGTGATCAAGAGCAGTTCTAACATTTTGTCATTGAATGGCAGAGATTTCCATCAGTGAGAGCCTTTAAAAGCCAGCAATTGTTATGCTGAAATAGCGCAATATTCGCACTTCTGTCGCAGACCATCACAAAGTGAGAAGAGCTGCATCAATGTCAAAAGCAGAGCACCACTAAAGGAAACTGCCTGGGCAGCAGACATAGTTTGTTGAAAGCTGCACACTTTTTGCACTGTATTGTAGAGTTCTTAGTTTGGACACTTTGCTTTAACACATGATACTGTATGCAGTTATGTAATGTTGTATCATTACATTGGAGAAGTTTTCTTTATATCAGTGGTTTTTATGCTTTTCATATTGGAATAAGCTTGATAGTCTGGTGATGTCACAGGCGTTCTATACCCTCTTCTACAGGGGGTGGGCAGATCCTAAACGATGCAGAGAGTGGTGCCAGGTATTAATGTGCCACCTCTCTGCAGCGAGTTCAGGGGTGGAGCTTTGACACCCTTGGATCGCAGGAAGTGGATTGAATAATGTTGGCCCATTAGAGGAGCAGAGCCACATCACTGGATAGGTGAGTATGCAGTGGGACAGCACCAGAGATCAGGTCAGTATGGCAGCCACAACAGCTTTAAACATTTTAATGACTGCTCTGGCCTGAACATTTGCAATTTCTGCCCAATTTAGGGCTTTCATAAAACAGGAATTTCATTTGGAAATAAGTGGATAACTACAGTTAATAAAGCTTCACTGAGCTAGGTGAAAAAATGTACTCCTTTAGTAACTAAACCCCACGGTTTTCACCATCTCTGCAGATTTGCGATTATCGTAAGGTGTGTGGAAGCCGTGCGACCTCTACTACTGTAAGGTCGCACGACTTTAAACTTACGGACATGTTCAAAAACCCGCCGAGCATC